TATCTTTGGGGAAACGCGATACTGCAAACTACGTCAAAGAACAATAATATTGAAATGCAAAATTTCCCTGACAATAATTCATGTAAACTAATTTACACTGCAAGGTTGTGCAATTCTACTAGTACAATTACTATACATGCAATAAATAAGCGAAAGACTGTATAAATAATGTAAAAAATACTCTCGAAATTGACAATGAAGGAAATGACTAATTAAAAGTTGCAACAGCAACAATGGTCTATACAGTTCGTTTAACAATTACACAGATTTTTCCACTTACAAGTTGCAACAAATCTCCTCTCCTGCAGCTAACTCATCCTATCGCTTACTAGTTACTCTTGTATGCTATAGCGACGAATAAAGACGATTAAGGTGATAAATACGTAGACAATAAAAATCCTTTTTGACAGCAAACAAAAAAACGACTTTTTTCTAGTATTTCCACAGCACGCTCATATAGCCAAAAATAATATAACCGAACTACAAGTAAAACCTTCTCACCTGCACACCCCTACTAAAAAAATAAAACAAAAAAAAGAGATTTACAAGCCAACTGAAAACAAGCACAAATTAGGTAAACTGAAAAAGAAGCGCCATAGGTATAGAGCAAAAATAAAAGCAATATTTGAGTTTAAGCTCAAAAAAAAGACAGGAATAAACGGAAAATATAGATAACACCGCCATAAATCTGAACTCAAATTAATTTTAAATATTCAAGTTTTAAGCAAAGTTGAAACGACAAGGTGTTCAAGCAAATAGTAAGTAATACAACAATAAAGACAATCTTCCGTAATCAGAAAAAAAATATAAAAAAAACGTGCAATAGTGAAAAAGTATCTTCTAAAATTGGCAATCAAAACAGTTTTGTGGTAGTCTTCGTTCATTCATTGGCGCTCAATACGAATTATCACGCTTAGCTGAGTATTACACTTTTACATTGTACTTTTCTGATTTAATAGCCGATCCGCAGTTAAATAGTTCAAATGCGCGTGATAAATACACATCTTTTGTCGCTTTAAGACCATTTGTCATCTATAACAGCACAATAACTTCCTGACTTCCTCCTCAACGCTCTGCCTGAGTAACTTTTCTCCTTAAACTCAAACTTCCGTACCAATTTTAAATGTTGCAAGAAAAAAGTTCTTTTTAAAGCTCTTCTTAAAAGTGCTGTATCAAAAACGGCACATAAGCCACATAAAGACCGATAACTGACGATAAATTAAATTTAAAAGTGTTAAAAAAACGACAGAAAAATTTTGTATCAATCACAACCAACTACCAGCAATTACAGAACTGCATGAATGTACGTACATAGACAAAAAAGTCAGCGCTCAACATTTCAACATAAAATGAAACCAGAAGAAACGTTCGGAAGACCGTCGTTAATAACTAAACTGTACATTTCCATACCCTAATATTAAATATTGGAGTCCCACAAACAGCGTCAAAAAAAAAAAGTGGTTTCCCGCAAATACAAAAACTGCTCCTGGCGAAATTCCAGAAGCTGAAAAAATTTTTTATCATTAAACAATGAAAGTCAGTAGCAGCAGTTTACTCCCATTTCCGCTTCTTCATCACCACCCCACTTACGCAGTGAAAGCAAGGATTTACAAATGTAAATTTTATGTGAACATACATCACCCAATTCTCACAAAAAGATACAATACATATCATGTAATTTGCTTTAATTGCAGTTATGTGTAATACGTAATATTTTGCAGAATTCATATCTAAGAAAATATGGAAGAAAAATGGCAAGAATTTTACGATTTTACATTTGTTCCTGATTCAAAAACAGTAAATTCATAAGGTAGAAAAAAAAAATGAAAAAAAAATTTTTTGTGGAACATTTGTACTATAAGTAGCAAATTAAGCAGTGTTTATAAACAACAGGCATAATATAAGGTAATGGGCTGTTAAGTTAAAGCAAAGATAAGAAGAACTATTAGGGACTGTGGAAACTTGCTTATTTTATGGCATTCAAGGCTCTTTCCTGCTATTTTACATTACAATATCGAAGGAACTTTTTCAGAAGCACTATATGGTTGGGTGCAAGGACGGTATTTAAGAACGGTACACTGTTTCTAACTACAATTTTTTATA